AGAAAGAATGGAAACGGGGCCAATGGCAACGGAGTAAACGGTAGTGGAAGCAACGGTTATGGCTCTAACGGTAACGGAATCGCTGGCAACGGCAACGGTAGCGGTTCCAATGGCAACGGTGTTAATGGCAACGGAAGCAACGGCAACGGCGTGAGCAACGGTAATGGAAACGGATCCCCCGTTGCTCCTTCCACCTCCTACGGCGCTCCCTTCTGATCTGTCCGGCAGACTCTGCCCTGTCTGCTGAGTGCTTTACCTCCAAATAGAAAAGTATTTATATTTACAGTAAACTTGTCATTCATAATATATGTTTTACTTTTGATCCAAATCAAATGAATGTAAATGCACACACACACACGTGCATACATACATACATACATGTATATGTATGTATATATAATATAATATATATATATATAATATATATATATATAAATATATATTTTTATTATATCTGGTATTATGATTATATCTCATTACTACACAGTAATTTTTGTCATTTTTCCAGTGAATAAATCACATATACCTACATACATACATGTATATATATGTACATATATATATATATACACATATATGATTATGTATATATATATATTATATATATATATATATATATATATATATATATATATATATATATGTGTGTGTGTGTGTGTGTGTTGTGTGTGTGTGTGTGTGTGTGTGTGTGCACAAAAAAATATACATATATACATAGATACACACACTCATATATATAAAATACATTACACACACACACACACACACACACACACACACACACACACACACACACACACATATATATATATATATATATATATATATATATATATATATATATATATATATATATATATATATACAAACACATACATATACACGCACATTTATATATATATATATATATATATATATATATATATATATATATATATATATATATATATATATATATATATATACGTATATATATATCATCTCTATATATACGACTTACATGCACACACATACTTATCTATATAACATACATATATACATATATATATATATATATATATATATATATATATATATATATATATACATATATATACACACACAATCGCGCGCGCGCTGTCACACACACACATACACGCACTTATATTTAATAGAATGTGTGTGTGATAGAGTGAAAGAGAACTTGAATTCATATTACAAGCAACATTAAAAAAAAAAAGTTGAATGCAATCCTTAGCATTTGACGATCATGACCAAAATTTATGACACTCATTACCATTCTGACATCTAGAAGCAGCACAATAAAGAAAACACCTTGTAATCCTCCAAATAAACCACTGAAAAAACACTCTAAAGAAAAAAGAAAAAAAAATTGCTTGTATAACATTCATTTGGTTGAACATTTTCTATTTTGCCAAAGTTATTCTTTCAGTTACGAAAGTTCTTTATCCATGAACTGTTCACCATGACTATTGTAATCTGAAAGTCATTTTGATGTAAATAGTTTTCGCGAAGTTATTTCTTCGTGTGTGTGATCTTCAGCTTGCTTTGTAATTCTCTTACATTAAGGTCTTTTCTCCCAACATGAAAATTCAGACATTTCATCCTGCGGTAAATATTAGCCTTTTCAGCCTTGGTTGAATTACAGCCTTTTCGTCCTATATCAAATTTCAGTCTGTTCGACCTGCATTGAATTTCAACCTTTTCGTCCTTATGCTACATTTTAGCCGCTTCGAACTACTTCATATTTCAGACTTTTCGTCCTGTCCTAAATACCCTTTTTTTGGCGTTTGTTAAATTCCAGCCTTTTCGTCCTAAATTAAATTTCAGCCTTTATGTCCTTTCTTACAATTCAGACTTTTCGTAGTACGCTAAATAGTAGCCTCTCCGTCTTTCGTTATATTCCAGCCTTTTTGGCAAATGCTAAATTCCAGCCTTATCGCCCCGCATTTTATCATTCAGAACTTACTAAACTTACAATTTCAACGAGTTCTGCTAGATTCCCCATTTCTGTATCTCTAATATGGTTAAGGTATTGAACGTACTTCTGAATGCCTTGTTTAATTAAACAGTAATGATCAATACAATGTCAGGTGTTTAATGAATGTTCTTTTCATATCTTTTATTCCATTTTTTTTCTTCTCTCCTTTCTTCTTTATACTTATGTCAGTTCTGTGAGAGGATTCTGGTTTCATATTCATCGTATAGTGATTCTCCTGTGATGATCTTTCGTGGGTTACATTGATACTAATAATGGTAATAAAGTAACAGTACTAACGATAGTGATAATGATGATAGCAACAACAGTAACATCGGCAAGAATAGCAAAATAATGATAACCAATGATAAATAAGATATAATCACGATAATAATAAATATGAATGTTGAAATATAGTTGAAATAATACAATAATTTCTTCTGCATGCTATCTATATTTTTCTATTTATGCAATATGGAATAGAATTTGTATCATCTTGATGAGGTACACTTTGCTTAAGCATTTTTTAAAGCAAATTTAGAAGAAGGGAAGTAATTACAACAAAAAGGCCGTTACCAGTAATGATAGTAACGATAATAATAATTATAATAGTAATAACAACAAACACATCAACTGGTGTCATTAATGGTGAGAGCGAAAGACCTTATTTCCTGTCTTGATTTCATTTTATGTAATTTTGAAGATGATTATACTTATACAACATAATTCTTGTTATATTTATTTTCTTCTTGTTCTTATTTTTTTTTTTTTGTTACAGGGTGATATAGCATATGAATTGTATCATTCGGATAACATGAGTTTTGTGTAAGCATTATTCACGATTAAATAAATTTTAAGAAAATATACTTAAAACTTTAGTAATGACCTTAATGTTACTAGAGACATCTGCATCATATAAAACGATTCTTTCCTTGTCTTCATTTCGTTTGCATTCAAATAAAATCGCTGTCGATATGCCTCAATTGATATCTAAAACACCATCGGTAATGCTGATCATTTTTGTGATATCACAAGTAATACCAGTGGTCCAGGAACGATGCAATGTCAGTTTCCTCGCGCATGCAGCTGTGACAAGATTTCCGTGAATAAGGAAAGGAAGGACTTGAAGGTCAGTGGGCGGCGCTTGGCGGGCGAGTATAAAAGGCAGGGCGTCCCTCCGACCCGCATCATCTTCCTTCTTGTCAAGTCTAATTCAACATGAGGGCTCTTGTTCTGTTCGGTAACTGATGTCATATGAATTGTAGTGGTCATTTTATGTATCGGTGTTGCATTCCCCTATCCGTACATTTCTCCTATTTCCCCTGTGTAAATATATATGGAATTTCTGTTTCATGGTGGCAGCATTACCTCACTAATACTTTTATTTTTTGTTTAAACTTTTTTTTCTTTCTTTTTCTTTTTCAGCAGTGGCTGTCGGCATCGCCGCCGCAGACCTTCCTTCCACCAGCTACGGCGTCCCCAACGGAGGAGCTGGAGCTTCCAACGGAGCTTCGGGTAGCGGATTCGGAGCCTCAGGTAGCGGATTCGGAGCTCGGTAGCGGATTAGGAGCCTCAGGCAAGCGGGGACAGCAACGGATTCGGAGGACCAAGCAACGGCTATGGCTACGGACAGGACGACGAAGTAGCGGCTCTGGCCGAGAGCATTCCCGGGGGCGGCGTCCCCGGCGAGGACTACCCCATCTTGGCTTCCGTGCCCGACACCGGCTTCTCCTGCGATGCCCAGGCGGTGCAAGGTTATTACGCCGACACTGCAGCTGAAGCCGGCTGCCAGGTGTTCCATATCTGCCAGGACCGCGCCCTCAGGCGCCAACAGGACTCCTTCCTGTGCCCCAACGGTACCATCTTCAACCAGCAGTACCTGGTATGTGACTGGTGGTTCAACGTGGACTGTTCTCAAGCTGAGAGCTTCTACTCCGTCAACGAGCTCATCGGAGTCGTTCCCGACGCCGGATACGCCTATGGCGCTGCCGTTAATGGCAACGGCAACGGCTTCAACGGCAGGAATGGAAACGGAGCCAACGGCAACGGCAGAAAGAATGGAAACGGAGCCAATGGCAACGGAGTAAACGGTAGTGGAAGCAACGGTTATGGCTCTAACGGTAACGGAATCGCTGGCAACGGTAGCGGTTCCAATGGCAACGGTGTTAATGGCAACGGAAGCAACGGCAACGGCGTGAGCAACGGTAATGGAAACGGATCCCCCGTTGCTCCTTCCACCTCCTACGGCGCTCCCTTCTGATCTGTCCGGCAGACCTTGCCTTCCTTTCTACTGAGTATCTTGTGTCCAAATAGGCAAATATATTTATGTACAATTTACAATAAATATGTAAAGGTAATTAATTTTCTTTCCACTACTGTTCCATGGAGTGTAATATATAATTTTGTTGAACTTAAGACAGTGAAAGTATTAAAGATATTCTCTCCATTATCCTAAGTTTTATCGTAACTGATAAAGCTGATAAGTAATCAAAGTAACCACGATAAGCTTAAAACTATGGAGTTAAACGGCAGTGCAAACGGGTTTCTTCGTGGTTCATGAATTACGAATTGTCTGCTCTATTGTTGTTCAAAACTTTAGATAATTCTCTTGTATTCTTCTGATTGAATGATTTCGTGTTTTATTTCCGAGTATGTCTGTTTAAAGACTTTGAGAAGATTTTGACATGAAGACTAAATTCTGATCAGTAATTTGTGACGATTCCCATTGCTTTTACATTTGGGACATCAGATACTTGTGAATCTCTCCGAAACAGGTATCAGGAATCAACTGAAAAACACGGAAACTTACCACGACAGATAAGTAACCAAAATATGTTCATAATTTCGAGTGAGTAATGGACAATATTACCAGTAAGAAGGCCCAACGGATGACTACAAGAAGATATATTCTCTTGTCAATGTAAATCAAAATGATATTAAACAGCGAAATTTTTCAGTTTTATTTTAGATTATTTACCACAGACAAAAGGAAATATCGGCTTCAGTTCAAATACGTAAAAAATATTCTGTCTTATCGCTACATAGTTTTTATTCAAACCTAAAAATATTGGGGGGGGGGGGGGTCAAAGGGCCTAGCTCCCGGGGACTCTCAATGTCCATGCTAAGCCCGTGTATATAACACAATAAAGTGTAGGTCAGCATTATATAATATTCAACTTACGTATGCTGTATTTTGTTAAATACATATTTTTCCTTTTTTATTTATCTATTTTTATTTTTTACATTTAGAAGTGCAGTCATGAATCGCTTCCCCTACTAGCATGAAGATTTTTTTTAAGGAGAAATGTTTGGTTAGAGCAGTGTCCCGTTTGGATCTTCATATTCTTACTATTATTATTATTTATTATTTCTATTCTTATTATTATATTGCATCCTAAATCACTTACTCGCCAGTGAAGTCGAATACGGCCAGGCATTTAAAGCTTTAGAATTTCTTAATTGGGAAGCAGGAAAATGAGCTCAAGGTCTGCAATCTGGCGCGGGGATGACACATCATCACTGAAGGAAAATACTTTAACTATCTGTTGAAACCAGACGCCTGTCTCGCATATTCTATGGTTTTAGCATCTGCACGGCTATATGGTGGAAGTTTTTATTTTTTTTATAGTACAATGCACAAGCACACACTATAAAGCTAATAAAATACGCTTGTTTGCAAACACGGGACCACAGACGCACTCAATTACACAAATATTTATGGATTTTGTATCCAACTCTCTTTATATATACGTGTCCTTTCTTGTGGGGCTTTCCATCTGTGTGCATACTGTACATTTACAGTGCCCGAAAAAAAGTTTAAATTGACATTCGGAGGAAAATAAAACGTGAAAAGTTTGTTTGCATGAATAATAATGTAATTCTTTTTAGCATAATTAGTATATCATGTCCTCTTTCTGCTGCAATTCCACCTGCGGTTATTTTGGCATGGATTCAGCAAGACTGTCAAATCAGAAGGCATCCATGTGAACCGCTAGCTTCTTCAGTGCCTCCAGCAGTTCTTTGATATTGCTGCGTCTTGCCTCTTGGATGTTGCTCCTCATGACGTACCATGCGTTTTTAGGGGGTTAAGATGAGGTGAGTTACCTGGCCACTCTTATAAATTTATTCCGCTTTCAATTAGAATCTTTCAGACTGTCTCTGACTGGTGGCAAATTCTCTTAAGTATTGGTAAATGTTCTTTTCATACGTTAATATCACTTCCGCTCGCTGTAACATTCTCTAGAAGAGAGTAAAGAGCTCGCCTGCCCTTATTCCCAAAGAAAGAATCCCAGACCGTAATACTGTCCACATGTATAACTATCTTGATTGTGTATTACGGATGGCAATTCGACACGGAGTTGTGGCAACGCACGAAGTTTAAAGCTCCCCTCACCAGTCTGAAAGTGCTTACATCACTCAACATCACTTTCTTTCAATCAAATAGCATCTGGCATTGATATCTTTTTGTAAAATTTCTTTTTACCCCATAGCTTTAGTGAATGGAGGCTTTCACATTAACGAACCGTGTCGGTAAACAGAGGTCATTCTGAAGGCGAAGCTGGATGATCCTTATTAACACATCCTTCAGGAGTTCTTGCTGCTTGTTCTTAAGAATGTATGCTGTCATAGTAGCTTCGGACATCACCCCAGCATTGAGCATCGTGTCTGTCCTTGGCAAAGTCTTCCTTGATGCTTCAGAACCATGTTTCGTGTTTTAATTTTGCGACTGTCTGTGTGTCAGCGGCTTTTGAGATACCTTCATGTCTATAGGTACGCGTATTAGAAACATTCACAGTTCTAATAACGTGAAACAACGTGTTTCCTCGTTTCAAGTCAATGCATTCTGTTAGGCTGAGATGGAAGTATGTTATCAAAATGGGCGTACTACAGAGGAAATTCTGCCTAGAAGATAATATTTAATCATTCATCTATCGTAGAAAATCACTCATTGGCGTAAAACAAACTTTTGGTAACTGGCTGGACATATTTCGCATCACAAAACTCCATCAGGGCAGTCCGGCCACTGTATATGCATGAATGCCTATGATATGAATGAACAGCATATGTTTACTCGTTTGTATGAATGCTTATGATATATGTTTATTCATATACATGCATAAAAGTTGTCACCATCAACACACGTCACTATTAGAGAATAGCCTCAGGAAAATATATTTATTACAACGGTAAAGATATTAGCATCACTATCTTAAATAGTTATGATGATGAAACTACTCTTAGATGCATGAGGAGGATCGCTTGAGCAATCACAACCATTTAATTACAACAAAAATCAGTTTTGTACTAATAACAAAAGAGGATATAGTGACGGTAGAAATCTCTCATTCCGTGTAAATTCTAAAAATGGTTGTAATTGTAAGTGAAGTGCAGCGCATCATGATTTTTAGATGGGTTCACCGTATCAGCTATATATATATATATATATATATATATATATATATATATATATATATATATATATATATATATATATATTATATATATATATATATATATATACATATATATATATGCATACATATATATGTAGGCCTATATACAACATATATACATATATATGACTAAATTTCATATGTATTTAATTAGTCTGCATCTGACAATGTGCTCCTTCGATATAACGCCAGTGAGAACATTATTGCAGTCCTGATGGTAAGGTCACCTGTAAATGGTCCACCGCGCTTGCAGCTGTGACAAGATTTCCGTGAATAAGGAAAGGAAGGACTTGAAGGTCAGTGGGCGGCGCTTGGCGGGCGAGTATAAAAGGCAGGGCGTCCCTCCGACCCGCATCATCTTCCTTCTTGTCAAGTTAGATTCAACATGAGGGCCTTTGTTCTACTCGGTAAGGGATGTCAGATGAAATGAAACGGTCATCGTATTCTTTCTGTGCTGTGCTCTCTACCTTCCCACGCCTTTCTTCAAGTTTGTCAATCATGTGCACGTAAGCGGAAGGGCATGTGTAAAAGGGGCAGTCTCAGTTCGCTCATCTTTTTCTCGCCTTTTCAGTGGCTGTCGGCATCGCCGCCGCAGACCTTCCTTCCACCAGCTACGGCGTCCCCAACGGAGGAGCTGGAGCTTAGCTTCAGCTTCGGAGCCTCAGGTAGCGGATTCGGAGCCTCAGGTAGCGGATTCGGAGCCTCCGGGAGCCTCGGTAAGGATTTCCGGAGCCTCAGGTAACGGATTCGGAGGTAACGGATTCGGAGCCGCCGGCAACGGATTCGGAGCCGCCGGCAACGGATTCGGAGGACCAAGCAACGGCTATGGCTACGGACAGGACGACGAAGTAGCGGCTCTGGCCGAGAGCATTCCCGGGGCGGGCGTCCCCGGCGAGGACTACCCCATCTTGGCTTCCGTGCCCGACACCGGCTTCTCCTGCGATGCCCAGGCGGTGCAAGGTTATTACGCCGACACTGCAGCTGAAGCCGGCTGCCAGGTGTTCCATATCTGCCAGGACCGCGCCCTCAGGCGCCAACAGGACTCCTTCCTGTGCCCCAACGGTACCATCTTCAACCAGCAGTACCTGGTATGTGACTGGTGGTTCAACGTGGACTGTTCTCAAGCTGAGAGCTTCTACTCCGTCAACGAGCTCATCGGAGTCGTTCCCGACGCCGGATACGCCTATGGCGCTGCCGTTAATGGCAACGGCAACGGCTTCAACGGCAGGAATGGAAACGGAGCCAACGGCAACGGCAGAAAGAATGGCAACGGTGCCAATGGCAACGGAGTAAACGGTAATGGAAGCAACGGTTATGGCTCTAACGGTAACGGAATCGCTGGCAACGGCAACGGTAGCGGTTCCAATGGCAACGGTGTTAATGGCAACGGAAGCAACGGCAACGGCGTGAGCAACGGTAATGGAAACGGATCCCCCGTTGCTCCTTCCACCTCCTACGGCGCTCCCTTCTGATCTGTCCGGCAGACTTCCTATCTCTTTGCTGAATACATTGTTCCCAAATACAAAAATATTTATGTACAATTTTCAATAAATATGTAAGTAATCACATTATTCTCTGACTTCTTAGCCAAGGTAGACGTTGCGTTGTTCAGCAGTATACAGGCACTTGGTCTGATTACATTTTTTTTTCTTAATTATTATAAAACTTTGGAACTGAAATAATGATTTGTTGAATTGGTAAGCAAGAATCACCTCCTTTTGCTATAAAATCTGTTATAATTCTCTTGTTATATTAGTTTCTTTACGATCCAGTGTATATTATATCATGTAGGCCTATGGGAAACAGTTAAACCCAAGCTAAGGTGAGATGACAAAGAATTAAGATTATAAACCCCACTTCATCAAATTCAGACCCAAATTACTTACCAAACTATCAGTAGCATTTATATTTGCATCAGTTAAAGCAAAAACATTTTCATGGTCTTCTGAAGGTCGCGTCCACTGAGACAATTGTGAAGTGAGCAAATCTTTCCTTTGTCATCGCGTGTTGCATGTTGTGATCTGATGACTTGAAATTATTAGTCATAGAGAAGATTTACGCTGTCTCTGTCCTTGCTTACGTCTTTCCTTTATCACTGTTTATGTTTCCCTTCAACAGCTGTCAAGTCTGTTGCTAAAGTTCGAGACACGCATGCGCACGAAAACTGTGACAGTAGTACTCAACCGGAAAACTATTTTTACTTACCAGACTTGAGAAGAGCAACATTTATCCTTGTTTATGTCTTGTTTGCGTGCAACAAAATTCATAAAGGGCTAAAGTGGACAGCACAAACTCGCGCACATTGGGCTAATCTGATATTCGATTCAGACACTGTGTTTTGCTAAAAAAAAATCATTCTATTGTCCGTTACATTTTTTCTATGTCATCTGGTTCGTTGTAAATGTTTACAGATAATACATTATATATATATATATATATATATATATATATATATATATATATATATATATGTGTGTGTGTGTGTGTGTGTGTGTGTGTGTGTGTGTGTGTGTGTGTGTGTGTGTATGTGTGTATGTATGTATACACACACACACACACACACAAACAC